AAAATTTAATCTCATTAATTGTCATATTTTTTTGTCAGCTACTCAGTTTATAACAACTTTTGATCAATTTTACTCAATAAAAAATAATAATGCTCGTCAATAAAAAAATATTAAAGTAACTATTAAAACCGTACCCATAAATTGATTTTCTCCATATACCAGAGTCTTTGGAAAAAAAATGTGGGGTTCTGTTGCATAATTTTCATACACTGAGAGTGTAATTGTGTGGCTCGTCGTCTAAAGAGCTACCTTTGCCAATGTGCACTGGCTTTCCCATGTCCAATATCTTTAATTTCCCATGAGATTTGTTTCTTTGAATCGGATCTAGAAAGGGGAGAATCTATCTTTCTAAGTTTCAGAGACTTTATTTGCTGAAGTGGGCATCCATTGTTTCAACTAGCTCCATTTCAGAGATTAAGCCCAAGGTCCACATTTCCTTACTGATCAGAGTGAAAGATTCTTTAAGCCATGGATATAGGATATCACCACTCTCTAGTCACGTCCCTGCCCACTTTAACTATTCTTGTTATTGATGAAAATTCGTATCACGTGTCGTGTTCGTGTTGTGTTTTGATTTTTTTAAAAAAAATTTAAAGTCAACCCGAACACGACACGTGACACGAAATTTTTTAAAAATCACAACACGAACACGACACGATCACTTTACGGGTTGACACGACACGACACGAAATGACCCGTGAACCCGAAATTAGCACGAAAATTGTATACTTTTATTAAGTATTTTACATATTAGAAATCACTTAAAATTCATAACACACAAAAATTCAATAACATCCATTGAAATTAAGCAAATAATAGTATAAGATTTTGAGTATAACTATCATGATATCACAAGTTCATAATAAAATTAAAAATAAGTAATAAAAAATATATGTATTTTTTAGTTTGTTACGAGTTTCGTGTCGTGTTTGGGTTAGGCGGGTCCAACCCGAAATTGACCCATATTTTTCGTGTCAATTTCAGGTCGATCCAATTCTGACCCGAATCTCTTCTTTCTCAACCCTAACTCGTGAAATTCGTGTCATTTTTGAGTCTTGTTGTCGTGTCGTGATCCATATTGCCGGCCCTAATTCTTGTCCCTATCAGTTGGAGCCCTACATCATTGTTCACAAAGAAATCTTCTTAAATTTTCCTCTGGTAAGAAAAATTTGTCGTTACTGCATTTTTTTTTTTCCGTTTATGTCAATTGTCAAAGCATATCAGAATCAAATAATATTAAAATTTTATTAAAATTATCTAAAAGAGAGTTTTTCCGGTCATCCGTCCTATTAATAATTTTAGTTTTTAATCGTTAGATCTAGTCAAAATCACATTATATTAAAAAAAATATACAGAACAGACATATTTTAATACAGATTTAACAGCTAAAAATTAAAAGACTACCGATAATATATTTTTACAAGAACTCTGCCAAAAAAATGAACTACCATAGAAAGTCTCTATCTAAAATTCTGATATATTATAAATTTACACATGTTATTAATATAGCATCTCTTTTTGTACTTGGCTCGGAATCATCCTGAGTTTCGGTCTACCAAACGTTAGATTATTTCATTTTCTTAATTATTCCAAACAATATTAACTGACTACATTCTATTATATTGTATTTTGTAGTATACGATTATAGTAAGACAAATATAGGCCCGTTTGTTTTAGAATATAAATCATAACTCAAATTTTTTAATACAGTATTTTTTTAATATAAATTTAATTTTTAATTTAAATTTTCAGCTTGAACTTATAATATGAACGGACCTCTTGTTTTGCATAGTATATTTTTTTTCTCAACAAACAGTCCAAAACGTCCGGACTCATCCTTTTTTAGAACAAGTTAAAATCCAATAAAAAGTATCTAAGGGTCTGTTTTTTTAGAGTGTGATTTGAGTGTAATTTTTGAGTTGAATTTGAGTTATAACTTGAGTTGAACTTGTAATTTGAGTTTGTGTTTAAGTGAGTCAAAACTTAAATTTGTATTTAGATAATATTTTAATAAAAACTCAATGGTGATGAAAAATTTTAATAGGGTATATGGGTGGGGTTTTATTCATTTTTTCGTTGTCAAAGTATAGAAAAAAAATCATCTCAATGAGGATTAAAATGAAAAAGTTATAGCATTTTTAAGAATAGAAAAAATATTGTTCATTAATTTGAGTTCGAGTTTCTGAACTCGAGTTGAAAGGAACACTTGAACTCGAGTTTTGTCCCAAATTCGAGTTCAAACTTAAAAAAATATGAACTTGAATAAAATTTAAACTCGAGTTGTATTTTTTTAAATTTTTTGGGCAGCCGAACACACTCTAAATGACTAATGCATTTAATGAAGACACACGTATCAAAATTGATTAGTAAATTCAGTAGAACTGAAATGACTCTCAATTAGTTTATCAAAATTGATTAATAAATTCAGTAGAACTGAAATGACTCTCAATTGGTTTACTTTTAACGTTTTATATTTCAGCTTCACGATGTTGTCTTTTCATGATGTGTATTATTTTTAATATAAATCACAATGTGGAACCACAGTTGCTCAAAATAAATCATATTTAGGTTGCTAATATGACCGTCTTTACCAACATTTTAACCTATAATGATGAGCAGAAATGAAAGATGTGAATGGGATTAGTCTTTTGAGGAATTGGGTTTGGTGGGACCTAAAACTAGTCAAATTGGTTTTTGTGGATTGACAATCCATATCTTGACCACCGTTAGGAGGGAGGGTTGATCTTGATCGTACAATCTGATAATTCCTGATGACTGTAATTGATACTGCCTTGGGCCCCACTAAATTTTCTTTGTTCTTTCTAAATGTCTTTCACCTATAATACCAACAACGTATGTTCCATTCTGCCAGTTCAGCCACTGACTAGACGATCGAAATTTCTCAAACTGATTTGTCCAATTTTTTTTGTCGTTTAAGCGACGTACAAATGTCATTAAAGGCATATATGTGTACATATGCAAAAAAAAAAAAAAAAACATCAATTTAGGCAAGAGAAATAAAAAGATTGATTTGTGTTGTGTGGACCCACTTAGTCTTCAAATTAAGCACGTCAAGTTAGTTAATTAGGGTCTTGACATCGCCAATAGGAAGAGCACAAATTTACATTTCGTGACATTAGTATTACAGTACTGAAAGCACCACCGAGTTGGCATATATTGATAGGAACATCTATTGATTGCAATCTACTGGCCTAATGTCTCTGTATAGATGGCCGCTTCTATAATAGTGTATGGTTGATGGGGTCTTTTCTGGTAAATTTTTCCACCTAGAATGAATCCTTTTGATGCTTATTAGCACAGACACATGGGTTAGGTCCTAAAAAGTTTTATTTCAAGGTATATATGGAGTCTAGTTTTCATTTTTCTTCAATGTTGTGCAGTTCTGTAAAACAATCCCTAAAATAAGCCAGACTATAGCGGTTATAGTGTAGCTCCATGGCTCTCTCCCAGCCATAAGAAGTTCGATTCTTTGCGTCCACGGGTGCACAACTTCTAAGGTTGCGTTTAGTATGAGAGTTCTAGAATCGGAACCATGATTATGGTTCAAATCTTTATTTATTTGTAAAAAGTAAAAAATGGTTCTTGAAAATCAGTGTTTGATTTTGGATGGTTGTGATTCAAGGTTTGAATCCTGATGTGATGTTTTAAATCAGAATCACCTTAAAAAATAAAACTACCTCCCTCCTTGATTTTAGATGGTTCAAACCTCTGGTCTGATTTCGATTCCAGAACTATGGTTTGGACCCCAAGTTCAAACCATAAATCATAGTTCTAGTTCTAAAATTAAAACCACTCTGATTTAAACCCTACGCTACCTAAAACTTATTGATGAGTGTGCACCGATGCATTTTCTATTCCACCTATGCTTTTAGTAGATTTTGGAAGTTGTATTATGTGGAGATTTGAGGACACCATTGATTATTATTTTTTTTCCTTAGCAAAAAATAAGATAGGCTACATGGTGATGGAGTAGGTCCATGGCTCTCTCTTCCATTTGTTAGAAGGTCGATAATTGACATCCACAGGTGCATGAACCTCTGAAAATTGTTGACGAGAGCAGATTGATTTTTTTTTTCTCTATTTACACATGGTTTTAGTGGTTTTGAGAAGTAGTACTGGGCGGGGGACATGAGGATACCATTGATTTTTTTTTTTTTTTTTCCTTCTAACAAAAATAAATAATAAGCTAGACTAGGTGTTTTTTGAAACTTTAGATAGCAAATGATATCTGATAATTCTTTGCTTGTAGTCGAATGCAGAAGCTGTTCATTCTCACTAGTACCTTCTATATTATTGTCAATTTCCATTTTTGAAAAGTGCTTTCTAAGCACATGGCTTTTTTCCACTCAATCAAACAGAGCAAGTGAAGTGGATCTATAGCTAAAACGATAAGAACCTAACCTATATATAATGTGAAGAAAAAAAGTGAGCTCAAAGTTAGCTCTTTTTTTTGCCTCATGTGGCACTACTTTCCAGTTAGGTTAAAGTACACCCTCTAAACTCTTTTTTAAGTAATTGACTTCTCAACAAAGGGCAACACTTATTCAGCCAAGTTGAGTGTGTGGGCAAACAATTTGTAATTGTGACTAAGAGTTCATTTGGTTTATGAATTAGAACCATGTGATTAGAATTATTTTCGATTTACGTATATTTTTTGTGAGAGAAAATACTATAGCGAACTACAAATCATGATTTGAATCAAGGAACGAATCCCTCTACCAAACATCACCTTAAGTCTTGATATTAATAATCAACTTACATAACAAAGAAACATGGATTTGATAAATAGTAATGAATTAGTTTCCCACCAAAAAAAAAAAACCCAAAAGAGTTACATTGCTTTAAAAAAGAAAATAGGAAACTCAACTCCCTTCCAAAAGGAAAAAATAAGATTAATCAACACACAAAGTACAACTTTAGACCCGTATAAGGCTGGCCACAGTAATTATAGCCATCACACCTTTCCTTTTTTTTTCCTGCTGAAAACCATCAATAATACATCTTACCCAAAAAAAAAAAAAAAAGTTACGAATGACAATCTCTTTACACACTTGCATATGTATCCTTAATTAATTTGCTTAAATTAATAATTTTTAAAAAAAAAAATTAGGGAATCTACTCAAGCCTTGTGAGGTGGGCATTGATAGCACTTTGTGAACAGACCAAATGTATCAATTTGTTGGACGAAGTTGAGCATGCTTGCCCACCCTCCAAAACCAAATCCCACGATGAAAACCCATGCCACCACAAATATGTTCACCGAGTATGAGCCTGTCCATCCTCCTAGGAATGATGGTGGTCTCTCTACAGCATTCTGCTCAACCAAAATAGCAAGATAACAATGTTTAAAAAGAGTTTATGACACTAAATTTAGTAGACTACTTGATGTTCTAACTAAAATTACTACATAGTTTAACAAATTCTTTTCATGATTTGACAATTTACTGGTTGTCATACTTCGTATAAGCAAATTTGATGAATGTACAATGTTGATATCATAAAATGGTCAAAACACAATGTACTCTTAGAAACAGAATTATTCGTCATATCATTTGATTATAAAATCAAATAATATGCAAAATTGACTGATTATAAAATAAATAAATAAATAAAGAGCATTATTGGTGTCATGTATCACTACTCAAAATGAATGAGACTTACTTGCATGGATTCAACAATGACTCTACTATTTGTAATTGGTATCGCACCAAATAAAATATGTAGAATTTAAAAGATCAATTTGTAACTAATTCAGTAAGAAAAATGAAAATCCGCCATATTTATAGCAAATGAACCATCAATTAATGTATGATAAAAAAAAAGTACACGAATTGATGGTGTAAGATATTGAAATAATAACATTTATTATTATTTAAAAAAAATAAATAAAGATGCGGGGAAAAGAAAAGATGGATGTTGATGAATGATGAGGATAATACCTCTCTAGCAGCTGCAGAGGCAAAAGTGACCATGTGAGCCAGGGCAGGAATAATGTAGACAGTGAAGCTGACGAGCAAAGAGCCGACGGTGGAGTTGATGGGCCCAAAGAAAGGGAATATGATGGCCAAGAACCATATTGGGATCACCACTGGCAGCCTTGCTAGGGCCCGCTTTAACACACTCTTTGTCTCATGAACGCTAATGAACTTCTCCCACACAAAGTACAATGGTGTGCAAGCAAACCCAAATGTTATGAACTGCATGCATATTATATATATTATGTTAACCAATTATAAAAATATATATATATATATAGATCCATAAAGATTTTAGTTATGAAAGTAGTGTCGACAGACTAAAAAAAAAAGATGCTTAAGCTGTTAGTAGACGAACGTAACCTGATGAATGAGCATGAGTACAACGGCTGTGTCTCTGAAGTGGGTTCTGGGAAGCAAAGCGAGGGCGTTGGAGTGCGTCAGAAGAAGGTCCCCAAATGCCCAGTAGACAGCAGAGGCTGATGGTAGAGTTAGGGTGAGCACATAGAGTGTTGCCACCAAGTAGATCGACTTGAACTTTTGTGGTTTCCACATAGCATGCATAATCTCCCTACACAAATAAAATTTAATTAATTAACATTTTTTCTCAAATTTTTAATCTGGGGTTATCATTTTCAAACCAATTCTGAATATCTGTCTTCACACACACACACATATATGTGTGTGTGTGTATATATATATGTGAATCCTCACACTGTAACAGCATGACCACCAAAAGTGTAGAGAATGTTGGTAGCCCCGGTAAAGTAAAGAACCAATTTGGTTGGGCCAGAGTGCTTCACTCCCTCAACCTTCAATTATATTAACAATAAATTAATATTTAACTAATACAAAAAATAGAGTATGAATGGAATTAATTATAAAAGTAGTATACATATATATATATATATAGTTGTATACGTATGATAGCCTACCTGTCCATGGATAAGGGAAGCAACGGTCATATACCATGCAGTGTAAGTGGTCATCATAAGGCCCAAAAACGACCAGATTCTATAATTGTGGAACGAAGGGATGAACACAGTGGTCGCACAGCAGGCTCCAAATATATACGTCCAAGTTCTCTTGTCTAGATTGTCGTTTATGTAGTAGATATTACTGAAGCACAATAAAATAAGCAAGTATAAAATTCATCATGACTTGATAACCATTTTCTTTGGTAGCAAATTACAATATTTGTTAACCATTAATGTACTGATTTTTAAAAACTGTATTTTTAATTTTCAAAATATATAGTTGTAATAAAATATAACGTTCAGAAATATATACTATTTTAAAGCGCCAAAAACTGTATACTTACCTTGCACAAGCGATTAATTGAATAACAGATCCGAAGAGAAGAAATGTGCAGTTGAATAGAAGGCCGGCGTTCCTCCAGTGCTTCCCTAGAAGCCCGTCGAGTACTTCGAACCACTTTAAGAACAACAGTGCTTAATTAATCTTAAACTAGAATTTTCAAATCAAAATTAAGACGAAAATAAAGATTAAATTAGGCCATAATTACACAATTAATTAATTATACCTGAATAACATGATTCCTGAAATCAACTTTTTCCCTCTCCTTTCTAGTTCTGTACTCAACGTAAAGTATACTAATAAGATAAGCAGTCCAACTTCCCATTAGCCCATAAAAGAGCTGAAAAATAATCCCAGACAACATCCCCAGTTGTGAGAAAGAATATGGCAGTGTCAAAAGCACTTGTGCAACCTGCATTAATCCCATAAAAAAAACATAAAAAAAACAAAATATACACTCATTAATAATGTGAAAAATAAAATAAAAATCATATTTTTTGCATGAAAAATAGTAGTACTACTTCCGATTCCAAAAGATAAACATTAATATGCAATATAGTAATTGCCTGGTTAGAAGAACAGCTAAACCAAGCGTCATAGACTGAACCTCCATGCCAAAACAGCTCTGAGAATTTGCTCTTAGCTGACTTGGAAGTGTCGCCTTCTTCCCACTCCATTTCGACATAGTTTCCGGCTATAACAGTCTCGACTTTCTCGGACGCCATTGTTGCGGAGTTGAGAAGCTTTTTGAGTGATGTGTTGGGGGAGAAGCAATGGAAGAGTGTGTCACTCTTTAAATAGATTGATGAAAAAGTTTTTCTTCTTCTCTTTCAAGTCTTTCTCCCTAAAGCTTCTCTATTTTTCTTTTTATAAAATCTTTTTCATCAGCAATAATTGAGTCACCCTAGTGGGAACCTAGAGCTAGCTCACCCCTAACACCCAAATGAATATGGTTACATATTAGTACATGTGTAAATTACAAGGAGAATTTTGTGATAAAATACCCACCGATAAAACGCAGCTGGCATATTAGAAACATATTAGATTAAGAAAAATATGATAATATTTTTTTTTAAAAAAAAATTGATAAGAATTTAATGGTTAAAATTGTAGCCTATTGGTACATATATACCCTACCATAAAATACTCCAAATTATAATCATAGTCTCATATGGTTGGTCGGGCTTAATTTTAGATCCATTGGTGGGTGACATAGATTTGTGCCCAGCGGGTGACATAGTATTAGATCCCTCATTTTTATTTTATTTTTCCTTTTTTTTTTTGGGGTAGTTTTTTCATATGGGCTTTCGAGAGAGGGCTGATGGGCCCGGCCTAGCATGCATTACACGAGCGGGGTGGCCCACCACTCACCCGTTTCCTAATGAGCAATCAGCTTATTTTAAGCCGAGATGAGCACTGAAATTTGTTTTTGAGAGAAGTAGGAAAAAAAAAAAAAAAAAAAAATTTCTTTTATTCTAGAATGATGAGAAGAAATAGTGGGGTTAGGATTAGGGGAGTGTTTGAGTGTATGTGGGGAATGCCTAAGATGGAGTGAATGATTGCTTAGGGGATGGCTTGGTGCTAAACATGATTAGTGCCACACGTGTGACAACTGGCTTTACAAAAAAAAGACATTCATGTTTCTCCTTTTCCATCTTTTTAGTGATAAGTATATTTTTTTTTGGGGTTAGCTTAATCACTCTTTTTCTCCTTGGGCCACCGATTTAGCGTCCCTAATGATCACATTAAAGTGTCTTTCAAAAGTTGCAACTTACGGTGGTGGAAAATTTTGAATTAGAATGTGTTGTCCTAATTAGACCTTTGCTTTTCAAACTTAATACGTTATAGTACTAATTACGTAATGGAGAAGAAGCAACAGTGTATCAGAGGCCCACAATTTTTAAAGAACTTGTATTAAGGAAAAAAAAAAAAAAAAACCATGAAAAATTTTAGTCTAATTTACACATAAAAGTAACTAGTTTTTTAGAATAGTGCAAAACTTAATTTAATGCGAAACTAACTTAATTATGTATCCATAGTCCTTTAGGAGACTTGTTGAGCCAATTTTCGAATTTACTATCATCTCAAACAAAACATGTAAACTGTAAAGTCTCAAGTTGCTTGAGAAGGAAAGGTCTCCGAGTGACGTAACGGAAGCGTAGAATAAAATTGTAGTCCGTTAATTCACGCGAAATTATCAAAAAACAAGGAAAATTTGTGATCGTTAATTCGTGAGAATACCAAAAACAAGCCAACAAAGGGGAGAAAATTCTCTCTGAATTTTATTATAAATAAAACTATGATAATAATAACAATCTGTACTAGCTATTTATAGAGGATGACAATTCAAAATAGAAAATGAAGCTAACTAACTTAGGAAAGTAAACTAATTCTAAATTTGCAATTTGGGAAACAACTAAATCAGAAAAAGCATCTAAGAATAAGGAAACTACTACAAATAAATTAAAATTCAAAATTAAAATAAATAAGAAAATAGTTTTTGGACTAACTTTCGTAACTGTTCGGCTCCTTGCTCCTCACGCTGCATCACCGAGGCTTACAAGGAAGAATGTTATATTGTATAGATGCGTTATGTAAATCATATAATACATGAATTACGTAAATCACAGCTCACAAGAAACACACTACATATAATAAATCGCCAGATTGCTTTATATGGCCAAATACAAGATCAGTAAATTAACTATCCGTTCATTTCACCGATTCGAGTTTTGCTACAGTAAAAAGTTCTCAGAAACAATCACATCTAACTTTTTTGCTGCAGTAATAAGTTTTCACATAAAGTCACATCTAAACTCGAATTAAAAACTCAAATCAACGAACTAAACTGACCCTGCGTAATAAAGCGGTGGTACTTTTTAGCAGCAGTTTGTTGTTTTTCATAATTTTTCTAAATTTAACAGTAGCTAGTTCTCAGTTTTTCATTTCTAATGTTAGCAATTAACTTGATTTTTTTTAAAAAGAAAATTTCACTGAACCATTTCTTATAAAATCAGTACGGAAGGTGAATGCAACAAATATGATACGGCTCTCTCATTGCCTGCAACTCATTGCCCTCAACAAAACGAACCCTAATAGAAATGTTTCAGAGGAGCATTTGGCTGTGTCATTGCATCCATCTATCTGACAAAAAAAACCACGGAATGTTACAAACTAGTACCGCAAACGAGACTTTTGTTTAGAAAAAAATAGACATCGTTTTATTCAAACATAGTGAGTACCCCACTAGTGTGTATATATATTTCTCTTGAAATGAATTGCTCATATATATATATATCTTAACCACCGCAATAGACCTAACTCGAACTTAAGACTTTTTATTACACGGAAAAATCACCCTGCTAAGCTTTCGGAGGTACCAAATAGACATTTGGGGGGGTTCATCCTAAATTGAGTCTAGTGATCTCATAAAAGAAAACAAATTTCAACAAAATATGTACACACAACAAAATTAGGGTTAGGTTTACTACTATTTACATGTTAATTTTCTTTAAAAAAAAAATCTTAAAATATGCATATTGGAGCTGGGACAGGTGGGAAGTGTTCCCCCGTCCCCATTCCCATCTCGACCTTGACTCGAACAAGAAATTGTCTTTGTTTATGCCCCAAACTCGATTAGAAATCCGATAAGTTACTCCATTAAAAATCTCTCGTCCCCACTTTACTAGGGGATGCACGGATCCCAATCACCAGTTGTAAAACTGTTCTTTACATTATTTAATTTATTTATAGATATATAATTTATATCCTTAATAAAATCAATTTATTTTTAAGAGATATCTTAATTAATTAAATGAAAATTAAAGTTTTTAGTATTTTGGTGTATAAATATTATGAATATTGACTATAAAAATAGAAAGAAAACTAATTGCAAGTATGTGTATTAAAGTATATCTATTTTAGTCATTATACATTTTCACAACAATTTTTTACACAGTTTACCAATCACATAAATTTCTACTTCTGATATTCACAACAACTTTGAAAAAAAATTTACCAAACACCTTATGTTTCTGGGCACGGTAGCTTCTAAGTAACAGCATAACAACAGCAGAAATGTTCAACAGCATAACAATGTTAAACTAGCCCCCTAATTGATTAGATTCTAATTGAGTTACTAAAAATTAGAGAAGTGATTTGGAAAACAGTTTAGCTAAAACAAAATCAGTTTTGCAACAAAAACAGCTTCTGTTCATCATATTTACCTTCACGTCATTATTGGTTTCTCTCAGATTCGCGAAAGCTACAATACAATGATCAGGAAGCACATAAATCGGTCAACAAATATCGCAAATGATGGGAAAAAAGGAATTGGGTAGTCAATGTCGTTTCTATATGTATGTACTAGCTCGATATTGATTTGTGAATGATAACCAAATTGTTAGCTGTCAAAATGGGCCTTCGGTAGGTCCAGTTCAAAACCAACCTCCTCGTTTCAACTTTGAGGAAATTAGATGGGGGACCAAACAGAGAGCTACCAAAAGGATCAAAAGATGGAAAAAGAAAACCCCACTTTGACCAAGTTTTTCCTTTGTTAGACATCAGTCGTTTTCTTGAGTTGCTAGACGAACATGGGATGGTTTTTTGGTTCTCGTTTGTTTGGAACTTTGGATGTGGAGATTGGAGAAAAACTCAAGTGATTTTATGCCTCATTTTTCTTTTTCGGTTTTATGGAAAATATCCAAAAGTTCTTCTACATAAGACTTTATAACGACAATGTCGGTTTATTATTGTTAAATCTTTGTCAAAATCATATCAAACTAAAAAATATAAAAAATAAATAATTTTTTATTAAAAAACTGACCGTTAAAAAGATATTCTTTTTTTTCAAGACTTACCAAAAAATCGTCAATATTTAAACGGCAGATCGAAAAAGCATTTTTTTTAAAGGTGTTTCGCTTATGGGCAATGGTTGGAAGGTAAACTTTTGGGATAGCAAAATCATTTTTCTCTTTTTAAAAAGCGAGTGTCTTCTTCTTCTTCTTTCTTTTTTCTTTGAACAAATCCGAAACTTTGGATGTCCTATTTCCTTAATTTGATCCATTTCACTCACTGAGAATCTAACACTATAAACGATTCACATGGGTTTTTGTTTGGAAAATATATGCGCGACACTTTTAGAGGTTGGACTAAGGAGAATTATGTGGCAGCCTCGTAGGGTAAAATAAAAATATAGAAATATAAAAACCATACTTGTATACAAAACCATGCATGCGTCTTAATTTTTTGATTTTATATAGTCAAAATACCCAAAATACTCCAAAGTAATCACCACAGATTGACTCAAATAACCTGAAAGAAGCATCACTATAAAAAAAATAAAAAAAATAAAGATTATACTATTGATATGTGTCCAACTCACTCAAAAAAAAAGTGACATAAGATTTTTTTAAAAAAGATTATACTATTGATATGTGTTCAACTTACTAAAAAAAAATGAAGTTTGACACTAAATTTCAAAAAAAAAAAAAAAAATTTAAACCAAAAATTAAAAAAAAAAAAAAAAAAAAAAAAAAAAAACGAGGAATATGGTAAGGAAGCCCAAAAGATATACCGATGCTTGAAGACCATCTGTTGCACCACATGAACGATGAGTCCACCACCTTCAGCTGTAAGCCCTAATATTGGCCTATTAAGTTCTGGAGCCCCAATGTCTATTAGGGAAATCTGGAGAAACACTAAAATGGACATTAAAATTCAAGCAAAATTTTGACTCCAACAAATGTAATTCTTTTCGTACTCCATAAATCATTCGTGCGTGTGTAACAAGTGAAACACTCAATATTATATGTGTTGGACTATATTTTTTAAATATTATACTTAAGTAAATTGAGTCTCAGTAGCTAATTTTTATCTATTAATTATAATTAGTGGTTCTTTTTAACGAATTTCGGTGACGTACTTACACTCAATTTTATATGTATCAAGTAGCTTTTTACCTGCTAGGTCTCATAATTTATGTTCGCTCATATGTTTTATCTATCTTTATTGGTGTCCAACTGTCAATGATTAAGATAAAACTTTCTTGTATTTAGTTGTCATTTACGATTACATTTAAGTATATAGCTTGTTAAATTTGTAATGAAATTTTTCTTTGAAAAAAGTTTTTTTTTTTTAAATTAAGAACGGAGAGAGTTTAGTTTAGTTTCGTTAGCATTTGTATAAAGTGCAAACCTTGGTAGTAATATACAAACAGAAAACGTGATATATAAATATGGAAATAAAATATATATACGGCTTAAACTTTTCCTTCTCTCTTTCGTTCCAATTAATGTATCTTTGTGAAGGACAATACGATTGTATCAGAGCCAAGTGGCATCCTCCCCACTTGGTATGCCATCCTTATGTGTATATTTGTGTATATATTTACACACACATGTGTACGTATATATGTATGGTTATTTTAATATTTAGTATTTATTTATTGATAGATATCGTTATCTTAATCGTAAAATATTTAATTTAATAGTTGACTCAAAAAATTCATGACAATTAATGAAATTAAATTTTTATTATGCTACATCATATTACATTTTCATATTTTTGATAGATAACTACCATGAAAATATAACATTAAAAACCTTATACATATATATTTATATATATATATGTTAAGGTGGTCCTAATTTTCTATGTGGAGATCAGTTGACGTAAATTTGATGAGAAGTACAAGAATGGAGAAAAAAGTTGTGAAAGCAAGGTATAAAAATAAATAAATAAACAAGGAACCTGAATAAACTTGAATGGAAGGAGAAGAGAAAGGAATCCGAATCATCCCTAGATTTGGTTAATGGTAAACTTTCCTTCCCTAGAATGTCAAATTGCTTCAACTTCCACACGTATTCTTCTTTTCCCTTTGGCTCTTTCTTTATAATGTGATTCTCTAAAGTTTGCATTCCTCATTCCCCTAACCCTTTTTACAAAGTTATTGCATAGAGAGAGAGAAGAAAAAGAGATGGCATCTCATATTCTCAATGTTCTTTCACCGCTACTTGTTTTGGTTCACATTGTTATTTCATCCGGTAATTTCTTCTTGCTTCACTCTTTAATTTAAATATAAGTGTGCTTTGCAATAACCATGTATAAACTGTGTAGGCAGTGTTTTATCTGCCAGGTGTTGCGTTTTGTTTTTGAGTTTACGTGTTCATTATTATATAACACAGATTGTCTCCCCACTCTCTGATTTTGTATGTTTATTCAAACCGTTAGAGTTGTTTTCTCTAGTGTTGTGTTATAAATCTTTTGATCTCAATTTATCAGAGTTCCCCATCGATTATAGAGGTGTTATTAAAACAGTTATTTGTGTGTTTGATAGTTAGGTCGTGTTTAGAATTGATCCCGTTTTTTTTTACGTTTTTCGATAAAAAAAAATGAAAACATTTTTAAAACGGCGTTTGGCGCAATAAAGACAAAAAATGAAAATGAAAACGATTTTTTAGTTTAATGTAAAATGAGGGAGAAATGAAAAACGACTTTTAGTCATTTTTTATTTTTTGTTTTCATTTTTTCCTCTCTCGAGCAAAGAGAGAGATAAACATTAATGGGTTTCTGTCTGAGATCGAAAATGTTTTCATTTTCATTTTCATACAAAAAATAAAATCATTTTAAAACGAGTTCTAAACGCGCTCTTAATATCTCATTTCAATTTTCGGTCATTGGAACCTTTATTACGGGGTCAATCAAGTACTCAAGTTTAGTGTGTACTTCCTTAATTTAGAATACAATTACCTTACAAAAAAATTGTTTTAGTTTGATATATATCTTTTGACATAACATGCACTTGTGTTCTGCTTCTAGTTTTTGTCTGTGGAAACTAAGAACTCAACCTTCAACAAGCATTATAATCGCTACCTTTCCTCCTTTTTTTTTTTGAAACTTTTTTGACTTCTAATTTTCATGAACAAAAAAAAATAATATTGAAAACATGCTCCAAAGTTCTTAAAACACGCACACACCAAAAAAAAAAAAGTAATTAGCGTATTTTTACTTGAATTGTAACTATGATCAACATCATTGATTCTTATTGAAAATGGTAATGATACATGCTAAAAAATATTTTATCACAAGTGCACTGATCAATATAAGACAGAATCACCGAAATAATTGTTTTGACCTAACTTGTTTATCACTAAGAAGTTATATTTAGCTTCAAGACATAATTATCAAACGTTTTATTTTGTTTTGTGATGTGTATCATATATTTCATCAGGAAGAGAGAGAGAGAGAGATCGTCTATTCTTCTACTTAGTTTGAGCATCTGATGCACCACGTAAACTTAGAAATACCCCAATATTTGTAATTATCATCGCTTTTCTTAAATTTGCAACTTTCATCGATGATCTTTATCTTGGAATACAGAAACATGTTATTACTAGTCCACATATTTTATCGAAGCAGTGCCTCAATTGCTAAATTAATTAGTGGGCTAATTTTTCACTCTTGTCCCAACGCTCAATTCTCTGGAATATAATCTTTGTAGGACCGGAGTTATCTGAGGCTGCTAGAGTTTTCACCGTAATCAACAATTGCAAAGAGACTATCTGGCCAGGAGTCACCCCTGGGGAGAATTTCAATGGTGGAGGTTTTGTATTAAAACCGGGACAGTCCGCCATCTTCACCGCCCCGGTCGGGTGGTCTGGCCGTATATGGGGCCGAACCGGCTGCAACTTTAACAAAAATGGTGTCGGACCATGTCAGACAGGGGCCTGTGGTGACGCCCTCAAGTGTGGCTCCTCAGGAAAGACTCCAGCAACACTTGCCGAATTTACCCTTGCAGGTTTAGATTTTTACGATGTTAGTCTTGTTGACGGCTTCAACCTGCCCATGGTTGTGACACCAATCAACGGGCGGGGAAACTGTAGCATTGCTGGGTGTGACGGCGACCTCCGGACAACTTGCCCCGCGGAGTTGTCCGTTAAGGCCAATGGGAAGACCGTGGGATGTCGGAGTGCCTGCGACGTGTTCAACACCGACGAGTACTGTTGCAGGGGTCTTTATGGAAATCCAGTTGTGTGTCAACCTACTTACTATTCCAAAAAGTTCAAAGATGCGTGTCCTAAGGCCTATAGTTATGCCTATGACGATCCAACAAGTATATTTACCTGCTCAGGAACTGATTATGTGATTGCCTTTTGCACAAAAAGGTTGGTAAAAATTTCACATCTTTAATTTTGTGCTCTTTTGTTTCTACCAGGTATTTTGCCTATGCGTGGTTATTTTACATTGCAGGTTAACCAAAGTTAATGTTGGCTTGAAACACAAAGTAAAGTCTAAATTATCTTATCTTAATAAATAAAGTGAGACTCGCAAAGTAGAACATATTTTGACATTTGGTACTTGTAGATCTAATAATTAATAGTTTACATTATGTAAGGCATAGGGCTATCAATTTTAAGCAGGACTCAACAAACCAGTCTAAACAGTCTAATTTTGCTCGGGTCGGACCGGACCAAGGATGTAGGCTCAGAAAAGTGTAATCGGGTTGGGTAAAATATATAATACACATATATATAAGAACCGTGCCGATCTGAATTTGCACATCTAATGAGGTATAAATAATATATGTTCAATCATTTTTTTAATACAAGGATTGGTGTCAAATGCAGGACGCAACCAGTGTGCACATACCACAACCATAAGTTGGTGTGCAGCGGATCAGAAAGCTTAAAATCATTGATCGGAAGATGGTGGTCTTTGATGCTTCCTTTGTTCTTGCTCATTAAACTATGGAATGTTTGGTAGAGGGAGTCTCTTTTTTTTTTTTTTTGGTATTTATATAGTTTAGAGGGTTTCATACTTTACGTTTCCATATAAATTAGTAGTGCATAATTTGGGAGGAAAAGGAGAATGTAAATGGCTGTAAATACAAATTAATTTGCCCATTCCACTGTTCATTTCATTCAATTCAAGGAAAATTACAGAAGGGATAAATGACTTTCTTTTATTCCATCGTTCATTTAGCCTTTGCCCTAGTTAAAGCAGCAGGGAGGTCTTAAAACTTTTTTGTTTTTTTCCCGCCCTCCATTTGGAGTCGATTCCAAGTCCTTTGGTCTAGAATTTAGCGGAAAAAAAAGAGAGAGAACTACAAAAATAACCATTGTTTTTTATGATCATATTATTTATACCACAACAAGTAGTATATTAAGAGCCCGTTTGGTTAGAGGATTCGTTCTCTGATTCGAATCATGGTTCATGGTTCGTTACAGTATTTTCTCTCACAAAAAACACACGTATCTAATCTCATAATTCTAATCCATAAACCAAACGGACTCTAAACGTATTCTAGTAGAATACGAAAAAGGGAAAAAAAATATTCGGATAGAATATAAAAAATATCCTACCAATAAGATAATGTTATTTTTTAATAGTATTCTTGAAAATTTCTCAAAGAAAAAAGTCAATATGAGTTTTTTTAGACAAAAAGTCTAAAGGGTTGTTCTTTTGCAACAAAACTCAGAAAAAGTTTAAACTCGAGTTACAATTTTATTCAAGTTCATGTTCTTTTGTAAAACTTGAATTTGAACTCGAGTTTAGGACTAAAACTCGAGTTCAAGTTTCTTCTTCAATTCGAATTCAGAAACTCAAACTCAAATTAATAAATAATATTTTTTCTATTCTTAAAAATGTTATAACTTTTTCGTTTTAATTCTAATTGAGATGATTTTTTTTCTATGCGTTGACAACGAAAAGACGAATAAAACTCAACTCATATATCCTATTAAAATTTTTCATCACCATTGAGTTTTTATTAAAGTATTATCTAAATACAAATTTAAGTCTTGACTCACTCAAATACAAACTCAAAAAGATTCTTATATCAAATCATAACTCAAATGTACACAACTAAACACAAACTCAAGTTATAACTCAAAATCAACTCAAGATCTTCACTCAAGAATGCCTTAACTCAAAAATGTAAAAGAACAACCCCTGAGTTTTGGAGTCTTATGGGTTGTTCTTTTTCAACGAAACTCAGAAAAAGTTTGAACTCGAGTTACAACTTTATTCAAGTTCATGTTCTTTTGTAAAATTTGAGTTTGAACTCGAGTTTAAACTTGAGTTTGGGGCTAAACTCGAGTTGTTTTCCTTCAACTCGAGTTCATAAACTTGAACTCAAGTTAATGAACAATATTTTTTCTATTCTTAAAAATGTCAACTTTTTCATTTTAATTCTGATTTAGATGATTTTTTTTTCTATGCATTCACAACGAAAATACGAATAAAACCCCACCCATATACCATATTAAAATTTTTAATCACCATTGAGTTTTTGTTAAAATACTATCTAAATACAAATTTAAGTTTTAACTCGCTCAAATACAAACTCAAATAGATTCTCAATTCAAATCATAACTCAAATGTACACATCAAAACACAAACTCAAGTTACAACTTCAACTCAAGCTATAACTCAAACTCAACTCAAAATTACCATTCAAGTCACCCTAACTCAAAAATACAAAAGGACAACCCCTTAGTTTTGAGATATTTAGGTAATGTACCAGTTTTTAAAGTTAGATTGATGTTTGTTATGAGTACTAAAACTATTACCCTAAAATATATTACAATGACATCATTTATATTTTGTGTACTGAACAAAATTATACTTTTATTTTAGTATATTTTTTTTCAGTATTTTTGGATTTTGTGAGAATTTTGTGGTTTTTCATATATATATTTATTTTTTTTAAATATCTTTAGCTGTGACATTCTCTGCAATAGTTTATGTTTGTTAACATATGTCAATTTAAGCTTAAAACTTGTAGTGTTCTTGTAAAGTGCCGCTTTGTTTTTGACTAAAATTCTTGTGGAGAAAATTACATAATTTATCCTTAAGAGTGCATGAGTTTGGATTTTTACTCATTATTTTTGATAAATATCCTTTTATTAGTGTAATTATTTGACTAAAAAGGTTATGAATCAAGAATAAAAGATAAAAATATGACTCGTGCACTTTTAAGAAGTATTTATTAAGATTACTCATCCTTTTATAGTAAGTATAATGGGCTCACACAAGCATTTTGAGTCCAAAGTCTTGGACTCAAAAAGTCCCTTTTGAGAAAATTGCATAATTTATTTTTTTGTGGTGGTTGATTCTGAATTTACTCTTTATTCTTGACTAATACTCTTTTATTAGTATTGTTTTTGGCTAAAAAAATTATTAATCAAGAGTAAGAAGAAGAAATCCAGATCTATGCACTTTTAAGGGTATTTGTCTCATTTCCCTAAAGTCTTTTAGATGAAAAAAGGGAAAAAGTACATGATTTGTCATGCTCTTTAGGCCTATTATTTATGTCATTATATATCCTTAAATGAGAAAATTACAGAATTTACTCTTAAAAGTGAATGAGTCGGGATTTATACTTCTCATTTTTTATTAATACCTTTTTGTTAGTATAGTTATTTGGCTAAAAAAGTTATTAATCATGAATAAAGAATAAAAATCCTGACTTATGCACTTTTATGGGTATTAATCTCTTTTCTCCTTTCTAAATAAGAGAAAAGTACATGGTTTGTCATGATTTTGTGCATGTATATTATTTATATCATTTTAAATAATTGAGTGTCATTATGACCTTTTACTTTCTCATTATTAATTGTATGATAATTGTTTATTTTTAAGTGGAATGGGATAAATGATATTTTTTACCATCTTTTATGGCATTTCTAGTTTTTTTCTATAAATAATGAAGTGTTATTGTAATTTTTGTTATTAATTGAATGATAATTATTTATTTTTTAGTGAAATGATATAAATATTATATTTTACCATGTTGAGTGGTGTTGTTAGTTTTTTATCAAATACAAAAGTGTCATTCAGAAAGTGTAATCATCACAGTTACCCCACTCAATGCATCATAATATCCTGGTAAGATATTAAAAATATCTGATCGGATCATCTTTTTCTTCTCAACAAATATGACTGGACGTATCCGAAGAGTATTCTTGTAGAATATAAAAAATAATCTTGTAATTTTTTTAAAAAATTAATGAAGATGGCATAAATGTAAAATTGTTGACTTCTGGTGGCATAATACATAATTTTCTCTTTACGTAATGTACTACATCTTTGAATTTGAAAAATATTTGTACTGATTGTTTTCTTGTGTTTTATAGTAAGTATTGAGATAAACATCTCATTTACCAAACAAGATGTTGAGATTTTCACTTTACCATCCCCCTCAAATGTATAGTTTTGAGAGTTTTGACCGTGAGAACACGTTATAATTATATTAAATTAAGAAAAATAGACAATTTAATAAAATTAATGGTTTAGAATTGTGTGATACCTATAGGACAATATTTACACTTTTTATAATATTTTATAATTTAATATTCAAAAATTCACTATAAAAGTTTTCGAGAGGTTTGAGAAGAAACGAATTGGAATTCCCGTTAGAAATAGTGTCATTCATGTAATAAGAATATTTATTATTTAATTAATAAAATAATTTATTTATTATTTATATGAGGATAATATTTAATGATAATAATTGAAATAATTTTCGTAATGAATTTAATTAAAGTTACGAAATCTTTAATTAAAACATTACTAATACACATTATTCTTGTTAAGAATTGAATGGTGTTGTTCGTATCATTAATATATACAGATATTGAATGAGTGTATTATGCATAATAAGATTATGTAAAATTTGGGCACATACACAATTTAATTTTTTAATAATTTTCGTTAACTATAGAAAGTCAAATTTGAGTCTACCGATGGTCATATATGGAATGATTTTAATACTGAATTATTAGTAAACTCATGTTTATGGATTCGCGTTTTTTTTTATTTACTCAGTACAGATTTCGATATCCTAAATCATATTCCTTGTATCTGGGAAACATGATGAAATAGATTGCCGGGAATGCTAATATACGAGATGTAATCTATTCATTTTTCTTTGAAGAAGTAGATAAATAATTCTCTTGAGTGTTGATTTGGTACTTGAATAAGTAACGAGGTTGTATTCATAAATGTGTTTTATGAATATACTATTTATTAGAGAATCAATAGTACTCAAGAATAAGGATGTAATTACAGAGGTTAACAGATTTTATCTAGCTCTAATTATGAATTATTTATTGAGAATTAATCTATATGTAATGATTATATCAAATGAACACTTCAAGTTCTTAGAAGTAAATTATGTTTATAATTTTGAGAGTGCAATTCTAAGTTTTTAGTCGAGTAACTTTTAGAATAATATAATTAATTAATTAATTAAATAGAATAATTAATTATTAATTTTATTAGAGCTCAGAATTATAGGTCCATAAGTCTCTGCGTCATTCTTGTAATATTTGAAAGACAATATGAATTATCGGGAAGTAAAATATCTCAAAATAAATAATGGATTATTTAATTAAATTAATTTTGGAACACGCTTTGGTGAGACCACAAGAGGTCACACGCTGAGGCACATGGAGGTGCATGGGACATGTGACACAAGTAGATTTTTACAGGGATTCACTTGCTTACTCTCCAAGATATCTAATTTACTTATTTGACAAGTTTTTCAATCAAAGTCAAGAGGAAAGTAAAGTATGATTTTATTTATATTTGAATTTGAGCTAAAATTGAAAACTGGATAAAGGATGAGTTTTCTCTCTATCCTGCTACAAATTTGCGCCAACCACAAGGAGGTCTCCCTATGGTGTGGCCGGCCATATAGTAGAGGGAATGGAGAGAATTTTGTTTCCAAAATTAAATGAGAAACTATATTTTAATGAGATTAAAATACAATAGTAACCAGTTTTCCTAAGGTATCCGAATCTTAGAGAGAGAAAACGAGAAGAAAAGTTCTTCCAATTCCTAATTTCTTCACATACAAGTGTTGATAGTGAAAATACACAAATTAGCGAGTGATATAATCCGTTAGTTATTTATTAGAGCTCACACTCTAGGTCTTGTAGATTTCAATGACTATACGAGAAAGATTCTGGTTTTCTGAGAAAGCTTGGAGCTTGAATTGTTCGTAGTCAAATACCTTAAGTTATCCACCTAATCGTTCATTAGGTATCTATCTTTATAAATTAATATGATTAATTTGTTATTGCATAAATTAATATAATCTATAGAGTATTCTAAAGTTTTATGAAAATTTTTGTTATACACGATCCGCACTACCACACTTCTGCACACGAAAACGCTTAAAAAATCAATGATTGGTATCGGAGCGGTCTATAGACTATATTAATTTATGCCATGATTATGTGATAATCAATATTTATGTTAAATATGTGATATTTAATTTGTATGTATGTGATGGGTAGGCACTTACATTTATCATTGATGTTTATATTTATTCATGTTGATAAATGTATGGATGATGGATTTAATCGTTAATTATATGATTTCATGAATCGGTTAATTAATTATTTATTTTTAAATTATTTATAATTTTATTTGGGATTAAAATTATTATAAATATAAGATTATGAGTGTCAGATTAGAAATTTAAAATCCGTAGAGATTGAAGCCACCGCCCGACACCTCACCACCGCCGCCACAGACATTTACCAGTGCCGTGTTTCTTATAATAAGAGATTATTATAATGTGAATTAGTGCGTGAAGTAGCTTTCCATATTAGAGGAATATTTCCTTAAACAAAATGAAAAATGGAGTACATATGGAATGAAAAATAAAATATGACCTTTCATTGCTCTATCAAAATAAGTTTGTATCTCGTCTTTATAATATTTTGTACGATAACCATGATTTATAAACTTTTCTATAGTTTTCTGACTTTTTTTTTTCCTAAAGTCATATTACTAATTCACCAAATTTATCAGGATTAAATTTTTTATTTAAATTTAATCTTTTAGTCATTTAAAGATCTATCAGAAAATTGATCTAAAATAAAATCTATACATATTTTATAAAGGGCACACTGCATTGTTTGGAATTTTTACACGTCATACAGTATTGTGAAAAAAAAATCATTCGGAAAAATATCCAAACCTAACCTCGTATTCTTTCCAAGCGTTTATAAAACTATGTGTATTGCGAAAGTATATTATGCCGTTTAATATATGAAAATGTATTTTCAACCAAAAAAAATCTTTTTGCTGCTTCCATTTTTGTAGTTTAATGATATAATCTCTTATCAAATTTAATCTATAAATTTTTTTATTTTATAAGTTTAAATTGTTGTTCAAATTATTTTACTACAATATTTTACTATTTTTCTTATAAAATTTAATTTTCTATTTAAATTTATAAACGAAATAACCATATTATTTTGACATTTGAACATCATATCATATTATCAATGTCGATATTAATCTTGTAATTATAAATATTTATTCATTTTTTAATAAAAATTGTGTGAAACTTTATTGACTAATTAAATAAATATTAATCAATACCATGTATTTTTTTTAAAAAATTAATCGATGTATTTGTGAAACCAGTCTCACAGTCTAGTATTAGCATCCACAAATTTTTTCTTAAAGAAAAAAAATAACATCTCTAAAAATGAATCGAAAATTAAATATTATTCCTTTTGGATTTATCCTTTGTGAGTTTATTAATAACAGGATTTTCTGCGCAATTACACCCTACCAGAGAGAGAAAGAGAGTTTAGAGAGAGAGAGAGCAATGGCAGGTGGTGGTGGAAAAGTCTCCTTCAAAGTGACTCTCACCTCCGATCCTAAGCTTCCCTTCAAAGTGTTCGTAATGTTCCCTCAAATCTCAATTCCGATTTCATTATTTTTCCCCTTTTTTTTTTCATCTTTCGCCTAGGGTTCGTTTATTTCTCTGGATTTTTTGTTTTCAATTCCAAATCTTGGCCATGTCTTCTTCAATTTACGGAATCTTTCAGGTTTAGCGTTCCAGAGGCGGCTCCTTTCACTGCCGTTCTCAAATTCGCCGCCGAGGAATTCAAAGTCCCTCCCCAAACAAGTGCTATTATCACCAACGGTAATTTATTCTTTTTTTTCTTCTTCTTCTTTTTTATGATTCTTATGCTTGTATATATTCTTAAATAGGATTTGCATGTTGCAAATGACTTCATCATCTCTCACAATTTGTCAATTTTCTCTCTTCGTGTCTGATTTGTTTATACTTAGAGAATCCCAGTCCATTGTTTTTTTTTTCCTTTTCAATTTAATGATTAATTGGTCAGCTTAGATTACTGCTTTTCGGCAACCGCTTTACAATTTTTAATTAGATGGTATTATTTACAGGGCGAATTTTGATGATTTTTTTTCCCCTTTGAATTTGTGAATTTTCTATTTTTTTTCTTCACAATTGGGTAAGGGTAGAGAATTGCAGTCCATTGTTTGTCTGTTCAACTTATTGTGTATTTGGTTAGGGGTACTGCATTTTGGTAATCCCTTTACAGTTTTCAGTTGATTAGTATTCAATTATGAGCTGTGTAAATGTTCTCCTTTTCCTTCGACTTGATGATCTACGAAACATCTTCGGGGATATATTAGACATAGTAGGTGGATATGAAATCCTGATCTTAACTTCAGATTGCCATGAAGAGTCTTAGTTGGTGCATGTGCATTTGCCATTTTTGTCCTGTTTTGTGGTACTCATATGCAAGCAATGCTGCAATTGGTTTTACTGTTCGTGTTTGTCTCAATGTGGTATGCTGTGGCATGGTTGCGGTGCAGTTTAGGACATAGGTGGTTGTTTAAGGAGAAAAAGATGCGCCAAACAGCCAGTTTGATTAAGGATGTGTTTGGGATTGCTTTACAACTCCTAAAAGCACTGTGCACAAAAACCTATACAACTATAGTGTTTGGTTAAAAGGTTGAAAAGCACTTTGCATAAAGACCAATGCACTTTTTTAAGTTATTTGGAGAAGTTGGACTTTGTAGCTTTTAGATTTTGCTTCTGCTGCTTTTAACTTTTACTTAAAGGAAAAGTAGTGATTCTCTTAAAAGCACAACAATCCAAAACTCACCCTAACCCTGTTTTGTTAGTTGCACAGTGAAAAACTAAATAGGTAACCATATGAAACAACATTTACGATCTAATGTGCGGTGTGGGTTGGTGATTTGGTCCTTTGGCCTTTTGCCCTCGTCATATTTTAGCCAAGCAGATAATTGACCTCATATGTTAGAACTCCTATTTTTTTGAACCTACATTTGAGGCATGACAATAAAACATAATCATCCTAAAAAGATCGTGATACCTTATATTTCTCACTTTTAAGTTTGACTTCTTTGCTCACTAAATATTGACTAGTACTTGTGCCTGCAGATGGTATAGGCATCAATCCTCAGCAAAGTGCAGGTAGATGTTGCTAAGTTTTCCCTTTTCCCTCTTTTTCTTTTTCTGCTGAAGTTTTTTTAGTAAGGTATAGATCTAGAATGGAGATCCTCGGTTTTCTCACAAGTTTGACTGACTTCTCAGGCAATGTCTTCCTCAAACATGGTTCTGAACTGCGACTAATTCCCCGTGATAGAGTCGGAGCTTTCAGCACATTGAAGGCTTCATCGTTATCAGAGTAAAAGGAGTGGTCTACTTACTTTATTTAATTCTGATTAATCTTCTAAATTATTGTACCCTTATATGAGGCTTGGAGCAACTTATATCATAAGCTCCCTCTTGAAAATTTAGATGATGATGAAGTCTTTAAATAATGGTGGAAGAATATAGAAAACACAGTAGTTATTACTTCAGTAGCTTTACTATTTCCCTTTCAGCCAATCTCTGGTGGGGTCTTGGATCACCATGTGTGGCATGTTTCCAGACCTCAGTGGTGAACCTCTATGTTCTTCTTTCTTTTTCATTTCCTTTAGATAACATAATTATTGCGGGATGCTTGGCCAGACCTCACTGAAGGAGCTTGGTTGTGAAATATACTGTTCCTTCTTGTAGATTTTTTAAAAAATTTATTTTTTATTTTTTTATTTTTTTGGAAAAAGAACTCTATGGTTTTGGGGCGCAATAAAGCAGGAAGATAACTAGCAATTGTCCGTTTGCCTTCACTTCTCTCAAAAGTAGATGTGGACGTCCAGTGCTGATAAGTAATCTTTAAGAAAGATTTTAAACTTTGTTGAGTCAGTCTCTCTTTGTTTGCGCTACTTGAAGAGAGTCTTAGGGCTTGGTTCATCAGGTTTTGAACTAGAGAACAAAGTTTAAACCAATGTTTGAACAAGTTTGAATCAATGGTTGGTTCATTTCTTCAGAACCTGAGCTGTGGAACCGGTCTTGGGCTCACTATAAATAAACACGGCGGAAACGTACAATTTTTATTCGATGATGATGATAAACAACTTCACTCCTTGGATACTTCATCTCCCTAGTACCGATCAATGTGAACTCTTTCTTCGAGTAGACTGGGTCAGGGTCCGTAAATCTCTTTTTAATTGGAGAAAAAACAGCTTACTCATTTTCTTTTGCTAAAGAGCTTCTCTTTATAAACTTTGTGGATTAAATTTCCCATAGCACTAGATTTACTCTATTAACTTTGTTTACTAAGGCCTTGTTCGTTTTATTGATTCGAGTTTTGTTATAGTAAAAAGTTCTCACAAACAGTCGCATCTAATTTTTTTACTACAGTAAAAAACTCACATAAAATCACATCTCAACTCGAATTAACGAAACGAACGAGGCCTAAATCTCCTATAGTTCCGTAGATACTAGATATAGGACACTATATATAACTTTGTAAATTAATCTCCTATAGTGTGTGCAACGTGCCTGTTTAGGAGGTGCTCTCGTAGTTGGCAATATACCTAGTTGTGTCCCCTCGTGCTATATATAGAACAGCATGTCCTCTAACATAAACGCCACACCCCCCAGAGAGAATAGAAGAGTTTTTTCTCTTACTCCAACTTGCACGATGTCTCTCTTCAAAAGGCATGCTTTTATTTCACATGGTTTATTCAGCACTAGACTCTAGTGCATTCGCCACCTATATATGTCTAGTAAACTTTTAACTTTTTAAAAGTAGTATTTCTTTAAATCATCCAATGGTGTAATTAGGAAACTCAAAAAAAAAAAAAAAAAAAGAATGAAGCCCAAATTAGGGAGAATATGAGGTTGAGTAATATAGAAAGAGAAATCTAGAAAAATCCCCCTCTAGTGAGAGAGCATAAATATTTATGTTATCTTTTTAGATAATAATGGTTACGTTTGGTTCATGGATTAGAATCATAAGATTAAAACTATTTTTGATTTACGTGTATTTTTTGTGAGAGAAAACACTGTAACGAACCATAAATCATTATTCAAATCGTGGTATGAATGCTCTTACCAAACGTCTTGTGATTCAGGATTCTACGAGAACAACACAATGTTAAATAAATGAGTTGAGAGGAACATGTCCTAATTTTCTCATGTAAAAAAGAATAATCTTTAATCTGGTGCGGCAAAGACAACATAGTAGCATGGCATAAGCATGGGCTAATCCTCCACAATATAATCCTAAAACAAACAAGAGAATTTTACAATAGGCTCTAAAAAATTGAAATACTCTACAAAATTTTCATCCATTAGATCACGTATAATTATATCATATTAAAAATAAATGGCGTTTAACAAAAATTTATGATATTTGACAGTTGACCGTTTGGTTCATGGATTAGAATAATTTTCGATTTACGTGTATTTTTGATAAGAGAAAATACTATAACGAATCATGAATCATGATTCGAATCAGAGAACGAATTTTTTTAACCAAACGGGCTTTCCTTACCAACCAGCCTTTTGAAAGAACGTTAATTATAGTACTTTAACATCACAAAATGTGCGTACTCCTAGATACACTCGAGTTATTTATATATGACATGCGATGAAGTTCTCCCTCTCATGGTCAAGTACCTCGTCTCCCTAATGAGTTAATAAATGTAAGATTTGGTTGAACCAAATCTCAAGTCCAACGACGGTACTTTATATTCGATCATATCTTCCTCTGTAAATGACACGAACCCCACACTAAATTGAGCATCTGAATTACGAGCTTGTAGATAAGCATTAGTAGTAAGAAGCCCGATGATACAACCAAGCTTTAAAATTTTTTTTTACCTCATAGACCATACTTTTAATGCGCAATAATTGCTTAAAAAAAAAAAAGTGTCCTACCGTACTTGCTTCTTTTACGACACTAATTAAGAATTTGTTTAGTTAACTGATTTAAGTTTTTAATTCGAGTTGAGATGTGATTCTATGTGAGAATTTTTTATTGTAGTAAAAAAATTAGATGTGACTGTTTCTGAGAGTTTTTTACTGTAACAAAACTCGAATCGGTGAAATAAACGGAACTAAATATTTTTACACAGTAAATGTTAACGGCTTAATGCATAGGAAAATAGAGAAGCAACAAGTTCCATATGATGTCACGATAGAACTACTAGATTCCTCTCATTTGTAAGGTTCGTCATTATTTTTTCTGATAATTAAACCAAACAAATTTTGAACCGTCCATTATTGTTATAAGGGCTTGGTCCTTTTGGTGCCAACACATTTTCCAAACAACAAAACATTGATTTTCTTTTGGTTTTTTATTATCATTATTTTGACATTAGTAGTTTCATTCAAAATCTGGTTTGCATGGGACGCTCTTTCACTTCACGTGCAAAGTGGCCAGGGAGGCCAGAAAATGAATGGCTAATGAGTGCAGAAAAAAAAAATAAAATAAGGGGGGTCTCATTCTTTAATTACGTGAAGGTCCACAAATGGTCATCTTCTTATAAATGGTGGTTGATGCACAAAAGGCAAAGGCATTTAGATCTGCATCTAACTTAAATTGGCTCTTGAATGCTTAAAATTGACCCTCAAAATCTGTCTCCCACTGGCCCATATTACCTTGTCTCCCTCCACAGCTTTTATTAACCATTTTTCTGATCGTAAGAGAGAAGCCAGTCCCACCTATTTCCCAAGCTACTTTTTGGACCCTTTGCTAATAACGTTCAATTTTTCAATTATTAGGGCAATTAATTGAAGAGAAAAAGTTCAGTGGCAAATATTGAACAAGACAAACAAGATCAATATGATTTCTTTGAAGATTTTGATACAATTTTTTTTTTCCTTTTTTTGGTGGATTATACTATTCTGATCTTTGAACTCTTAAAAGTGTGTTCAGTTAGCATGATTACTAACTCTGTTGCAGCATATTTGACAGCACTTATTGCATGTAACTCATATATGAGAGCAAAGAAAAATTTTGGCTAATGTTTGTTTGGCTCTATATATTCCTTCAAAATAATAATAATAATAATACTTTTTAATAGAGGTGGTAGTTCATCTTTTTTTTTTAAATTTATTTTTACGGGTATCAAATCTATGAAGATTACATAATTTCATGTAGTAAAATAAGATTAAAAAAATATTATTATAAACATAGATATTTCATCTAACCAATATAAGTATTATAAACATAAATTTCATATAAATATAAAGATGGATGAACAAAATAGTCAAAACTGAAGATGGAGAATGATATGAAACCTCACCAACGACGCGATGAGACCCAACACCAAACGCGAATTACAACCCCAAGATCTTTAAGACGCAAGATTGTTGAGCCTTAACCCGTTGTCTATCAAAATGCGAATCAAGAACTACGAAAGATGAAGAACGTCACACCAAGATTCTCAAGAATCACCCATTAATCTCAATGATAAGTTCGATTGTTGAACGCCACAAGAAAAGTACTTGATAAGGTCAAAGTCTTCTCAAGAACCAAGAAGCACAAATATGAAAAACCTCAATAATATCATTAATTGCCAAAAACGTGTTTTTACAACCCTATTTATAGTTGATACGTTTTTCAACCCTAAAGAAAACTAAAACATCTAATTATCTAGGCTTAAGCCCAAACGGCAAACCCTACTCTAATCCAAGGCCAATTCGGCCACAAAGTTTTCCCCTAGGCCCAATTCGGCCAACTTGAATTGGACTCCCGCCTTACTAACCTCTTTGCACTTCAACTTGAATTTTCTAGAACCTTAATCATGGTGACTAGATTCTCTTCATTTGGATTTGAACTTGTGTTGGGCCTCCATGTGTTTGACATATCTCCAACTTGTTGAACCAGCCCGTTCAATGCTTCCTTGAAGCATTTAACTCTAAGTCTTGTCACTGCACCACTTGGTAGACTCAATGGATCTCTTGAATGTTGCGCTTGCCCTTGTGCTCCACCTATCGCATCATTCTCTCCCTCTTGAAAAGGATTTGTCCGCAAATCGTCACCTACATCAACAGGAGATAGATCAGAAACATTAAAGCTTGCACTAACACCATACTCACCAGGTAATTCAAGCATGTAGGCGTTGTCATTGATGCGCTCCACCACTTGAAACAGTCCATCACCCCTTGGAAGAAGTTTTGAACGTCTTTGCTCAGGATTACTCCTGGCCGATTTAGAATTGATGCACCGAGTATGAAGTCAATTTGATGTTCAATTCCCTGAATTGGAGGTAAACCAGAAGGCATCTCTTTGAGAATTAGATCCTCGAACTCCTGTAAGAGAGAAACAACGTTGCTCGGTAAATAACCGGCAAGATCGTTAGTATTTAAATGGGCCTCCTTGTACATGAGTACTATAAGGGGCTGTTGTGAAAGTAAAGCTCTCTTAATCTCACTTTTTGTAGCTATGAAATTGTAATTCTTTTCTCTCATCAAAGCTGCTACTATTTTATTTTCCCTCTCATTGTCTCTCGTGTTTTTGCCTCCCTCAACTTCTTTTCTCTCCTTTTCTTTTCTCTCTTTTTCGGCCTCTCTCTCTTTTCCTTTACTTTTTGCATCTTTAGTTGGTCTTCAAGAACCTGTTTTGGAGTCAATGGGACAAGGGATATAGGCTGCCTTTCAATGGTAAAAGAGTACCTATTGGTGAAAC